GCAGTCCTTCAGAATTTCAGCTAAATGAATTAATAATCAATTTTCTAATTAGCTATCCTCTGTCTTATAAAATGTTACGTGCCATGATATTATCAGTATACATACCAGAGAAATAATAGCATAACTATTATAAAAAAAACAGTTGATATAACGTATGGGAGTTCTATTAAGTAGCATTTGCATTAGTTACTTGCATTACATTACATTACATTAGCATTACATTAGCAGTCTCAGATGTACAGACATTAGTTTATAACTATGCACCTTTATATAATGGATATGTAGTATGTATTAACAGAAACAGCATATATTTAAAGATAGAATCATAGAATGGGTTGTGTTGGAAGGGACTAAAGATCATCCAGTTCCAATCCCTTACCATGGAATACATGGGATACACACATGTTCCACTAGACCAGGTTGCTCAAAGCCCCATCCAGTCTGGCCTTAAATAACTCCAGGGATGGGGCAGACACAGCTTCTCTGGGCAATGCATTCCAGTGCCTGACCGCCCTCACAGGAAAGAACTTCTTAGTATCTAATCTGAATCTCCCTTCTAGCAGTTTGAAGCCATTCCCCTTTGCCCTGCCACTACAGGCCCTTATAAAAAGTCACCTTTCCAGTTGTCTTTTTGGCCCCTTTAGGTACTGCTCTAAGGCCTCCCTGGAACCTTCTCTTCTCCAGGCTGAACAACCCCAGCTCTCTCAGCCTGTCTCCATAGGAGAGGTGCTCCAGCTTTCTAGATCATCTTTGTGGCCTCCTCTGGACTCACTCCAACATGTCAATGTCCTTATGTTGGAGACCCAGAGCTGAATGCTGCACTGCAGGTGGGGGTCTCATGAGAGTGGAGTAGAGGGGCAAGATCACCTCCTTCAACCTGCTGGTCACTTTTTTTTGGTGCAGCCCACACTACAGCTGGCTTTCTGGGCTTCAAGCGCACACTGAAGCTGGCTCATGTTGAACTTCTTGTAAATCAATGACGTCAAGTCCTTCTCCTCAGGGCTGCTCTTAATCCAGTCTCTGCCCAGCCTGTAGTTGTGCTTGGGACTGCCCCAGCCCAGCTGCAGGACCTTGCTCTTGGCCTTGTACTTCATGAGGTTGGCATTGGCCACGTCTCAAGCCTGTCAGGTCCCTCTGGATCCCATCCCTTCCATCCAGCATGTCAACCACACCACACAGCTTGGTGTTGTCAGCAGACTTACTGAGGGTGCACTCCATTCCACTGTCCATGTGCCTAGCAAAAATGTTAAACACTACCAGTTCCAATACTAGCCCCTGAGGAATGCCACTCATTGCTGGTCTCCACTTGGAATAAGCTGTTGACTGCAACTCTTTAAGCGCAACCATCCAGCCAATTACTTATCCATCCACTGGTTCATCTGTCCAATCCATTCCTATCCAGTTGTCCTGGGTTTAGCAGTAGCAGTCAATTTCCCTCCGTCTTGCTAGCTGGTGCAGCGCTGTGCTTTGACTTTCGGCCTGGGAACAGTGCTGATAATACCAATGTTTTCAGTTGTTGCTAAGTAATGTTTACTCTGATCAAGGACTTTGTGAGCCTCATGCTCTGCCAGGGAGGAGGGGAAGCCAGGAGGAAGCAGAGACAGGACACCTGACCCAGGCTAGCCAAAGAGGTATTCCATACCACAGCACGTCATGCCTGGGGGAGTAACTGGGAGTTACCCGGAAGGACACAGGGTCTGCTGGGTCGGACTCATTTTTCGGCGGGTGGTATTGTATTCTCTTCCCTTGTTATTTTCTCTTATCATTGTTGTTGTTGGTAGTAGCGGTGGTGATTTGTGTTGTACATTGGTTGCTGGACTGTTCTTGTCTCAACCCGTGGGAGTTGCACTTTTTTGATTCTCCTTCCCATCCCTCTGGGAGCGGGGAAAGGGAGAGCCCCTGGGGGGGAGCCTCGATTGCTTCCAGCCCAGCACCACTCACTGGGAGTGAGTGAACAAGCTGTCTGGCTGGGTTTAAACCACAACACCAGTTTAGAGGCAAGGATGTAATGAGGGACAATATCAGATATTTTGCACAAGTCCAGGTAGGTGATGCGATATAATTACTTGCTTGGTACCAAGCCAATGGTGAATAGCCATGTTGGTAAATGTGACACTGGTGTGTACACAGGGAGGTATCCTTAGTGACTCAATGCACTTAAGGAGCAAATGACCCTGCATACCTCAATGGACACTGCAAAACAAATAATTGAACATATTAATCCATAAGAACTATCACTACAGATTGTTTATGAAGAAAAGTCACCTCCTGGCCACTGATCACTGGGACATGCTGTACAGAAGTGTCTGGTGGGGCAGAGCTGGACCCCAGACAGACCCCAACAGGACCAGGCCAGCTATCCTGGGTGTTATTGGGTCTCCTCTTTCAACAAACCCTGCCTTGAGGAGAACATCTTAACCCAGACTTTCCATGTATCAAAGGAACCTGAGCTTCTGCATGACTGTTTCCTGTGCTAAGAAAATGAAAAGCAAAACCATAAGTTTCTTCCTGATTTATACGAAGAGCCCAGCATCACTTCCGTGGCATTAATAGAGTTGCTGGTGATGTATGCTGACGGGAAAACCAGACCTTGCTTTGGTAACATTGCAATAGGACCATGTCCTGGTCCCTCAGCTGCTCAGCTGTGGTGCCCACGCCTGCCTCAGAGCATCCTGTGCCCACCCACAGGCTGGAATAAGCTGGAGCCAGCATCAAGCAGGGTCAGCTGTGCTCCCACAGCAATCCTTGCCATCCCACATACTCTCTGAAGGGGCAGAGATGTGTTTTCTAATGTCATTAAAAGTAGACTGTGGCTTACCATTCGATTCATACAGGCCTAATTAGGTAGATTCTTTCAATGCAGGTGCTCCCATGGAAGCTGCCTGTCTTCATCTGCCCTTCCAGACACACAGCTGCACCGCCAGCGCTACATGAGCAGAGTATTGCACAAGCTATTTCATGGAAGTGGCCAGCAGGTGGAGATTTATTTATCTTCTGCCTTCTCCTTCCTTCCTGCCCTGCCTTCGGCATGGGCCTGAACAAGAACGTGGCAGTGCCTTCTCCCCACTTCCCTATTCACAGCCAAGATGTGGAGGCTGAGCCACTGCTTGCACAACTTTGCTGCCATCTCACTGTCATGTGAAGGAAAAAAGTGATGGTTAGTACCAGGAAACTGCCCTGTGACATCAAAAGATAAAGAAAGGTATTTCCATACCTTATGAAGATAATGGCATTCACCAGAAGCAAAACACAGCCACTGAGAAGAAAATGCATGGGGCAAACCACCTACAATGGCCATTGCCTCTGGTGGGCCTGGGGTACCAGGAACCATGATGAGCTTCTTGCCAAGGAGCCACTTACATAAACCCAGCAACACTGTGTGGATTGCAAATTGAACCAAGTGGGGTATTGCAGCATTATCAGTATTCACGACTTTATTACCCCAATCTGACTATTAACTCTGCTAGGTGACCAGAAAGTGCAATCAGATGTGTCATGGAACCATAGGCATTGCATTTCATTTGGCAGATTCCTACATGAAACACATAACAAATCAGGCTAAACACAAAGTACATTTGTGTTAAAAATGTAAAATTTCTCTTTCACATTCTCTCTCAAGCCCAAGGTGGCTGGCAACAGTCAAAGCAAATAGTCAGATCCAGGAGCTGAAAACTGCAAATCTCTAACGTGGCAAAAAAAAAGTAAGACAAACAATATGGCCAGGTGGAGTGTACATGGCCTTTCCACTTCTATGGGACTGTGAACATATTTAACAAAAACAAAAACTCCCTTTATGCACCATATAAGGCCATTCACAAGAAGAAGAAGCCACTGATATGATACAGGAAAGCCCCAAATTGCTTTAGTTTTAGAAACTAAAAATTTCTTTGAAAAGTCCTGTTCTGTCCACTGCAAAAGGTGAAGAGGAGTCTGCTGAAGGTGTTTCAGCTTAATATTTATTGTTGTATGGTACTTTCCGTGAAGCAAAATTCCTCTTTAGTGCATTAGACACCAACTTTAAAATGGGAATATTCAACTTGCTTTTGGAAATTCTGCCCTTGGCTTCCTCTGTATTGGGATGAACATGTGCAATATCACACTCAGCTGAATAATTGCCTCTTGTTGTTACATACAAAGGTCCTTACAAAACCAGGAGGTATTTATAATGCCAGTTGCAGCCTTATCTGCCCCACACCACGCTGCCATAACATGATAGATCTTTTTTCCACCATTGACAGAGAGTAATTTAGTGATTTATGTGTAAAGATTTGTTACAAAGCAAACAGAGGGGAGAACATCAGGATTTACACACATTTCTTTCTGGTCAAAACTCTGCTTGTCACTCCCTGATGTCCTCTCCCCACTGGTGCAGGGTGGCTGCTGTTTCCAGCCCCTCATCCTTGCTGTTCCAGTGCAGGAACTGCTGCCAGCAGCCATGAAGTGGTGGCTTTAGCAGGCAGCCCATGGCAAACTTCTCAGGGAATTGTGCTGGAAACACTCTTGTGATGCAACAGCAAAATTCTTCCCGCTGTATTACCAGGATCAGCAGCAGCATTACCCTGAGCTCAGGCGAATCCCCATGGAACCCCCATGTGTGCCTGGGCATAGCAACCAGCACCCATTATGGAACTATGGAACCCCAAATCAACACTGACATAGGTATCGCTGCTAAATACTTTCAGAGGGAAGCAGCTACTTTACCCCTCAACTAGAGCCAAGTAAGTACTTTTGATCAGATTTTCCAGGGTCTTACTGTTAAGAGGAAAAAGGCTTCAATTCAATGGACATTAGAGAACAGCAGATAAAACAAACCACTCAATACAAAGGAGGCTTTTTGTTTTTTTTTTTTTAGACAAGATGCACAGGTTTTGGTCAGGCAGGGAGGTGTCACTGACACAGTAAAGCGTGTTGCAGGCTAACGACACATCAGAAAGCAGAACTAAAGTTGTCTCTGATGAGACATGATGAGTGGTCCTTTCTCCATGCTAAATGGAGCAGGGCTCGCCTTGTGCTTCACCAGGGGCTCCTCCAGTGCCTGCTGAAAGGCAGGGGGAGGAGGGGGTGCCCCTGCCCTGCCTTCACTGCTGCCCATACTCTGCCCAGCCCAGTGTCCACTCTCAGCAGGTCCTTCCCCAGCCCAAGCTTGTACAAGCTGATTACTTCACCCATCTCTGCATGCTTCATAGTTGAAGTCAGGTCAGTCAATTGTGCAGGGATGTTAGACAGAGAACTGGCTCCTTATTAGCCCCATTTCATTATTGGAACCCTTAATAAGGTTAGAACTGCAAGGTCCAAAGTCTGCTGCAAGCTATACATTCTGCTCACCCCTGGAGATAATTACACTAAAGTTAAATAAGTTTATACTTTGAAAAGTGACTGCCAAAATTACTGTTGTCCCAGTGATATATTAATCAAATCTCAATTAAGAACTAAACTGATAGATTTTCTTATTTTCATTTCTGCAAGCTGAATCTAGCTTTAATATCAAAGTGTGAAAGAACCTGTCTACACACACATCTATGCTGTCTCAGCTTCCATGAAATGGTTGTAGGACCAGCAGCTGCACATTACAGCTTTCTGCACTCCTTGTACTTGTTACAAACAAAAATAGCAACCTACTCACTGACCCCATTCTGAAATACTGACAGAGTGTTCCACCCATCCCTTTGCATGCCCTCCTTTTTGGCCACATCCAAGATGCCAACCCTTGCCAAATCAGCTGGGAATGTAAATTGTTCCAGTTAGTTATTCTGAAAGGTAAACCTCCCAGGAGATGCAGAGTTTGCAAACATTATTTTCTGTCTAAGAGCAACCTTGATGATCTTTTATTTACAGTGTAAACAGGCCACAAGGTATCCTGCTATGAAAGCATAGTTTCCTGCTGTACTGATGTGAGTAAGCATCACTTCTCATTTGCTAGAGTCAGATTAGCAAAAGGAGGTCCCCTGTAAAATAACAAGTGCATTCAGAGAAACACACTCAGCTCACAAATGTTCTATAGCATAAAGTTATCTAAAAAAAAAAAAAAAAGAAAAGGCACTGTACACTGGTGAATTCTGCCCCTAAGAGAGTTTCCTCTCCACTGTCTCCCACTACAAGAGGTCTCCTTACTCATTCATTTGCCAGTGGCTGTCAATCTGCTCAAGAGCTGCCTTATTTTTGCCATCAACATCTCTCTGAAGTGGTCCCCCATTAAGAAATAAAAAACAGGATTAATGGCACTATTTAAAAATGCAATAGGTCTTGTGATGACATAAATGGCATTGATGACGCCCTGCGTGCACACAGAGACATTCAAGGCTGGTATTCGGGAAGCAAGTCGGACATTGCGCATTACATGATAGGGAGTAAAGAGCAATGAGAAGATAACCACTGTGAGGATGACTAAAGTGAGAGGTTTTTCAAGTGTCAGGAAGGAACTGAGTTGTTCACTCCTGTTTTTAAGAAAAAGAACCATCTTCACATAGAAGCAGCACATGATCAAGAGAGGGATAAGGAATCCAAAGACAGTCAGAAACATGCTATAGATGAGGTTTTTCACAGGATCTCCAGAGCTTGCATAATCAAGACACTTGTAATTATCGGCAGACGTTGTAGCCTCCAGGAAATACATCAGCGGCAGCAGTTCCAGTATCACTCCGATCCATATGGCAGCGGACACAATAAGGGCCATTTTCCTCTTCTGTAGAGGATGTTCTCTGAAAGGGTGTTTTATCAGCATGTATCGGTCAATACTGATAAGAGTGAGGAAAAGGATGCTGCCGTACAGGTTTGCATGTAACAGGAATCGGTTGCTGTGGCACAAGATGTGGTCCTTTATCCACTGATCTCTGGAGTAGCTGTTCACAAGGATTGGGAGAGTACACAGAAATAATAAATCTGACAATGATAAATTGAACAGGTAGATGTTGCCACTTTTCCAGTTTTTCAGGCAGAAAATATAGCCAAACACAACAACGGTGTTTCCAATGAAGCCTAAAATGAACTCAAGGCTGTACATGGTAGAAAGATAATACTTTTCTAGGACTCTGTTCATCATCAAACAGTCACTTGTCTCATTCATAGCCTGGAAAGTCAAAAGGGAAAAAACAAAACAACCACCAGAAATTAGTAAGAGATCATTGCATAGTTATTTTTATATTGTTGCTGTAATAGGTGAAGATAGTATGATGTTTCCTTGCAGCTTATATGGTAAGTAGATACTTGAACTTGATGAATATCTGTTTTGCACACAAGATTTGTATTTTCAGCAACTGACCAGAGTTACAAAGTAAGATGAAAACTTGCCCAAACAAAACCCTGTGTGGGGAGTTTGAAGTAAAAGCATCACATGAAGGCATCTGCTACAACATACCAACTACCACTTGGCCAAATCCTCAGCAGTAGCAGAATCTGGGAAAGTGAAACTTGCCTCTCACCACTTGCCACAAAGTACGGACCAGACCTCCTGGTTTCTGTTCTGAGTCATTAAGTCACTTTGTGACTATAAGCAAATGAGCCCTGTCACAGCCCTTGCTGGAAGTCATCTGCCTCTCTGTTACTCAACTCTGGTCCTGTAGTCTTCCCTTATCACTATCACTAACACTTATCACTAAAGCAGAAGTCCACTTTCAAGATAAAGGATGAAATCATAAGCAGCAAAAAAGCCACACTCTTAGCAGCATTACGCATAATTCATTAGGAAGTCAGGAGAGAATGTGTTTAGCAAATTATCGAAGCATTCATCAAGCACTTTGTGCAGCTTTGCTCATACAGTAGCAGCAATTGCGCAGAAACCAGAATTGCACAGAAAGCACTAAGGATGAAGCGCGTACCCTGTGCGTCACACCAGTCCACTTCCAAGCCATTCCTGCAGACACAGGACATTTCTGCTCCTGGGGTTTTACAAGTCTCTTCTGTTTTCTACAAAATGCCTTTCAGGAAGGGAAGGTTCAGTTATGACTGAATCCTTGTTGATTTGAAAGCAACTGTAGTCAAGAGGACAGCACAGCCAAGCTCAGAATAAAATGTCTTTGAAGCCAAATTCACAAACTTTAAGCCACTTATGTTATTGCCTCCTATGCAATGAGAGCACCATGCGTGATTTCTTGAATCACACAGCTCATCCCCTTCTGCTAAGCCCTCAGCCTTTGTATGGTGGAGTGCCCCAAGCCAACCCACATAGCAGCCAGAGGAAGAGAAACTGTTCCCTGCAGGGACAATGCTGAGCGCCAGGCTGGCAAACGCATGGCTGTTTTCAGGTGGGAAAGCTGCCGGCAAGGCTGCCAGCACCACGGCCACCCCTCCTGCGCTACTATTTTGTTTTCTTTTTGGCTTCAGACAAAGAGCTCCTCCTTCCAGCTTGGAAGTGAGTAGTGCAATCAGTATTCTTCAAGGAGCAAAGCTTTCTAGGAAGCTGCACCAAGTGTGAGTTTGCCTGAGGACAAGTTTTGCTTTCTTTCTAAAGGTTGGTTAAAAAAATGCTTTCATGCTACAGGGAAAGAAACAGAAAAAGATCTAAAATGCTCCCTCTTCTGCCTCCTCAGGCAAAGACACTGGCACCCACCTGCAGGGAAACTGGAAAATAAAGCAAGCTTTTAGCGTCAGCCTTTGGTGAAAATATTAGCAAAACAATTAGAAAGCAGTGGAAAAGAAAACGTTAGAAAAATGGGGTATGGATTAAAACTGAAATCAAGCTAAGTCTAAACTCTGACAGGGCAGCAACATGACTGCCACAAAATCTACCAAAGACAGTCTCCACAAATCATGTTATTAAGTATTTTCAAAGTTGTTCTGATGTCTATAATTTGTTAACATGTCTCTGCTCTCAAAGTACTATATTTTATTTTAAAGGTAGACCATAAGACAGAATAAAGTACAGCATTATAAAGTTACATCCACCAAATATCTACACTTACACCATGTACCAGAGGAGACAAAAAGGATATAGCCGTGCAGGCTCACTCTGGTTGGATAAGCTCACAAGCAGCACATAGCCTAACCCTGGCTGCTTAGGCTTTTGAGAGGAAACTCATTATTTTAGCGAGATTTTAGTTCTAGAAAACACTGCCCTAACATTAGCACTTTAAATACAAATAATACAAAATTACTGTATTGACAGGTACATTGACTTAGGTAGTTGTTGGAAAAAGACTGATGAATCAATTTGAAAGAAAGTGGTCAGGGTAAAACAATTAAAGGGTTCATTCAAAATGGTCCTGCTAGAGGAACAGCAGATTCTTCCTGAGAAGCTGCTGTTCAAGAGCCTGCTCCCACGCACAAAGACACCTTACCATCCCCAGGGCTGGGCGCTGGCTCTCCATCAGCACTCCTCAGACATGCCTTGGTGAGAACAAGGCTGGGGTCCCTGGAGCACAGCACAGTATTGCCGTCTAACCTAGTTTGCATATGATTCAATCATTAATGAGTCAAGGCAGAGGAGCGATTTGTTTGGCTGACCAGGACACGGAGGCAGTTTTTGTGGGAGGAAGGTACTGCAAAATATATGCTGAGTCAAGGGCAGAAGCAAACAAATACTTCCCCTTTGCAGAGACCTGTTTGGAAACTGCTCGGGGAGGATGGGTGGACGCTGCAGCTCTGTGCTGGGAGCATCTGCCGAACCTTGGGTGAAACACTTGGGTCTGGACAACACGCAGATCTCTCAGCAAGCCCTGGGCCAGCAGCCAGAGACCCCCACCTCCCACCCTGCCAAGTCAGCGGGGTGCAAAGCCCTTACCTTGTGCAGGCTGCAGCAGCCATCAAGGCAGAGGTGTGAGGAGGGAGCAGGCACTGCCCTCCATCCCATGCTTTGAGATATTCCCAGAGGCTTCAGGAGGGCAAAGCTGGTGGCTCACTCCCAATTACATCCAGTCTTCTTCAGCCACAGAAGAATCTCTCCTATTAGTTTCAGAGTGCAACAGATGCAGCTACTCAGCGACGTTCTATAGTTAGCAAATCAATTAAACCAACATATTAAATATGTTAAAGCGGAGTGCTAAAGAGCAGCACTTACTTTTCATATTAACATCTTAACACTTCAAAGATGCTGGTTTCTTCATCATTGCTATGTAATATTATCATGTTTTAACTCTGAGATGCTGCTGTTGCAAAAAGACTCTGTTCCACTGCAACTAATTCACCTGAATCAGCTTACATCAGCTTAAAAATTGCTTCTTGGTCTCAAATTACAGAGTGGCATTTTTATGCACAGTTTTGGTTATCTTTTTACCTGGACTACTGTCTTTCACTGTTCAGAAGCCACAGGGAATTCCATAAAAGATCAGGTATCAGCTTCTTGAGGCAAGGCATGCCCAGCCTGGGGGTCCTGAAAGTGCCAACTGTTGCACAAGAAAATGAGGGTGCTGCAGTTTTTTTGGATAGAAACGAGCAGGTGAGCAATCTCAGCCATGTTTTGGGTGGAACACGAGTTGATGGCTGTGTGGCGGACACACACAAGATGTTCCCCATCTGGGATTTTCACTGCTACAGGGCAGGCTTGAGTCCAGGGCTGATTTTAAAGAAAATCATGCACTGTGCAATGTGAGCTTTCATATACTTCAATTTAATATTTATTGCTGTGCAGAAGCATGCTCTAAGTGAGGTTGCAAGCCAAAAAGCTGCTGTGTGACCTGTCCCTATACGTTATGACTGAAGACAAAATGATCAGTTTTTCCTTCCTGGATCATGTAAGGAACAGAGCCCTTTTCAGCCTGTTACAGGAAAAACAATTCACTCTGGATGCAGGCTGTGGGGCTGTATTTACACTTGCTAGGCCTACTTTGCAGAAAAAATAAAATGCCAGCATTTGGGGGGCTTGTCAATTGCCATTTCGGTAAAGAAGCCCAACCTGCTTTATTCACCCGATAATGGCAGCTTGCTCAGAATCACCAGCAGACACCACGCCAGCTACTGTTGCACCTGAGCAGACGGCCATGCATTTGCAACACACGCATGTATGCTGACATCTAATTGCTTCATTCGATCCCGGCAAAACCAGGCCAATTGTGCAGTAGTTAGATCACATGTGACATCTGGAACACACAGGCAGCGCCAGCACTGCTGCGAGCTGGTGAGTGGCTCCTGGCAACACCCTATGTCGTTATAGCACCCATCCACCGCTGCATCCCTCATAGGGGACAAACAAACTGGAGATAAGTTATGATGTTTTCAGCACATCTAAAAAAGCTCTTCCCTGCTGGGTTAGCCCCTTGTACAGCTTGTGCACTTGAGGGCAAGGCTTCTTCAGGCAGGAGAGGAGCTACAGGGGTTGCAGTAGAAGCCCTGGTGACAGCAGATGACAACCCAGAATTGGCATGCCTCATTTTTAAAGCATGTATAAAAGAGAAAGAAGCTACAGGTCATATGCAGATGGCTGCAGAAAAAATATCATGAGCTAGAAAAAAGCTAAATAAAATAAACTGCTAAATGACACATTTGCTTTCAGTCCCCCAAATTTTGACAATAATCAGCACAAGTGTGTGTTCAGCAGTACCTTGCTTTGGTGAATTATAGAAGAATTATGTAAGTTTCTGAATTTTACCACCCCAAAGAAATTAAAATTTTAAAAAGATAAATTAGAAAACAAACAGATGTTGAAACTGCTCATTAGTTTAGAAGTGCTGTGGGCCATGCGGATGCTTCCCGTGAAGCAGCTGCCTGGTTTTACAAGAGCTAGGAGCTACCATCATTCTGTCTTATCATGGTAACAGCAGGATGAAATGGGAAGGAGTAGCTGCCACCTGCTCAGAGCTGCAGGTTTTGCTACACAACCGTCACCCTCTGACAGCTAAACTCAACTGAAGATATGAAATCAAACAGAGGGATAGATAGGGGTTTCCATTATGCTCAAAATAAGCCTTCTAGGTCTGCATACATTTTGTGCCAGCTTCTGGAGGGATTTCAGTTTCTTTACTAGGATCAGCAGTAACTTGGCTTGAGCTTTAACAGGGCGATCATCTCCATGTCTGTTTACAGTGGGGGGGACCGCTATCAATGCATATAGAGCTATATGGAAACTGGAAGCAGCAACTACTTCATTTCTGCATCAATATTGTGATACATGCCATAAAAAAATCCAAAATGGAATAATATTAACACTGTATTGTAAAGAACCCACTGCGCAGTACATGACTGGTGACAGAAGAAGTGGGTTTTATGGGTGACGAAATGCCATGAAATAATTTAATACATATGTGCAGAAAGCTCACAGTAAAGAAGAGACTAAAATGAGACTTTCTTAAATGGCTAAGGGTACATTAAAAGAGTCTAAGAATGCATTCAAGGCTGGTCAAGCAGGAGAGGTTCTGCTCAGGTGCAAGCTGCAGCATCCTGTGGGGAGCCCCCATGCAACAGCAAGCACACTGGTAGAGCCAGTGGGGACAGAAGCAGCAGTAGGTGGCCTTGGCCACTGTGCACAATTTGCTGATCCTGGGTTCATGTCCATAGTGACTTGGCAGGAGGGAAATTCACTCCAGAACTGGGAACCTTCATCCCTACAGCACCCCAATAACATTATTTTTTATTACAGTCAGCTAGTCTTTCAAGGAATATATATAAATATATAAATATTTCCACTGAGAAACAGCCTAATGCGACTACTGTCCATTCAAAAGAACAGTCCCTAATGATGACAGAACTTCTTCCCACTGCTTTGGTAGATATCTACAGTATTTCTCAGGCAAACTGTCCAAATGGTGCTACCCATAATTAAGCCTGCAGCTCCCAGACAATTTGAAGCAAGTTTGCAAAAACTGTGCATTTAGAGTGGGAAATAAAGACAGGCTCTGGTTGTAAATTAACGTCATACTGTTAAATTCATTGGGTTCTTTAGCAAGCTTTAAAGAAGAAATGCAACTGGAGTCAGACTGTTGTCATTAAATACCCATTTGTCAGTTTATATTAGACTGAGACCTATTAAATGAGTCATGCATATTTAACCGTTTGTTATGATGTATTTGCATTTGACCGATTAGAATGAGTCATTAAGGTTGACCTTGAGTGAAATGTGGTACCTTTCCTGCAGAGCCTACAGGGTTATCCCCTTTAGGGATAAACAGAGGATATTCATCCCCACTCAGGATTCATCCCTGCGAGCAAAATAGAACATGAGAATATTCTTTTAGGTTTTGAATTGTTGCTAGGTGAAATTAATACCTTGCCCTGGCCATCATGAACCGGTAGGGGAGAACTCTGCGATGACAACTATAGTGCAAACGGGTCAGCAGCACATGCTGCTGCTTTACACAATACAGTGTTGGGCAAAGGCTTTGCCATTGGTCACTCTAAATATGATAGCTTAATGCTGTTTCTACCCCTGGTACAAAGAAGGGATAGAATTAATGTTTTCTTTTGTCTGTCCAGGGCTTGTTTATATTAACCCAGTACCTGGTTTCCTTGTGCTCCAGAATAGGTGTGACTTGTTTCTCCCCTGCTTCAGTCCCCAGGCCGAAGTCATTGTGGTTGCAGTGAGATGCTCCTTCACCAGCTCCCTGCCAGAAAAATGCATCTGTGCTCTTTATGCTTTTAGCTTACTGTGAGGAAGGGGTCACAGTACTTCCTACCTCATTAATTAGGGGACATTGGTAGGGTGCTCCCCAACTCCTAAAATTACTACAATGCAGGATGTTGGAGGAGCAAATGGTAGGCTTGAAGAGCCAGAAAAAAATTGCAGCATCACAGTGATTAGAAGCCTGAGGAAGGAGAGAGGGGTTGTGCTAAGGGGGATGTGGAGACAGAGGGTGGGAGAAGGGCTGAGCATCTATGGGTCTGTCAGCCCCACAGACCAGCACCTGCACCACCCTCAGCTGAGCTGGGTGATGCTGAGCAAGAGACCTGGCTTTTAGGAACTGCAAACAAGAAGCACGTACAAAGAGCAGTCAAACCGCAAATGAATCTGCTCACACCTGTGTGTCATCTGCCCACAATTCTGCTTTTATGATGGCAGTATCTGAGCAAGCCTGCAGTGTAATGGCTGCACGCAGGGTGTTATTTGCATAAAGTGTCTCCATAATACACATCTCATAGACAATTGCTCCCCTTAGCACTTTTGCCATCTGTTATTTGGAGTTGTACTAATTATATGCAGGGCCTGAAAATGAGGAAAGACATGAAATTGCTTCAATTATTCAATTTTTCCCTAGGAGGAATAGATCTCCATTAATATTGTATGTTTCATAAGTCCAATACATAAATTTCTTTTGCTCACCCAGAGCTATAAAGTCCTTTTTTCAACCCAAACCTTCCAGGAAGAGGAGGAAGGGGCCTTCACTGCTCTCAGCTGCTGCATGCAAACTTCACCCCAGCACCTTCCTCCTCCTGCTCTCAAAAGACCAGCTAATCTTCCACTAGACTTGGATGCTCAAAGACCCATCCAACCTGACCTTGAACACTTGCAATGATGGGGCATCCACAAAACAGTATACATAAAATATATCAGTGTCTTGTAAGTGAGTTGTTTTGTTGGGTTTTTTTTAATAAAATCGAACTAGCTGCGGAGGCCTGGT